CAAACTTTACACGATATGACTTTAAGGAGAGCAGAAAACAGTAGTGATATAGAAATGTTAGACCTCAGTGCTCCGTCAGCGGACCGTAGTGCTTCAACAGAGGGACACAGTGCTCCGTCAGAAGACCTCGGAGCTCCGTCAGAGGACCTCGGAGCTCCGTCAGAGGACCTCGGAGCTCCGTCAGAGGACCTCGGAGCTCCGTCAGAGGACCTCGGAGCTCCGTCAGAGGACCTCGGAGCTCCGTCAGAGACATCTATTTACGATCACGAGTATATAGCAGGTTTCCATTACAAACTGGCTTTTGATAAATCATTTATGAACATAGCTACCAACACCACAAATTTAACAATGATTGCCAAAGGTGTATCAACTTCAAAATACTATGGAAGGCGGAGCAGGTCTACACAAACCCACAATGTAATTCAAACAAGAGATGTATCCACCAATATAATTGGTTTGAATCCAACAAAGGATGTCTGGACTTGGACTGGTCCTACAGAAGAATTTGCAGGATCCATTGACAATTCACCAAACGCTGCAATTGTACAGCAAACAGATACTATAAAAAAGGTTTGCACTATGCCAGGTGCAATGCCAATGGAGACAGAACTACTGTTATCCCCAAATTCACAACAGTCCGTTCCTGTAGAAAACATAGATACGCCATTCTCAAACATTTCTTCAATTACAAGAGTATCAGAAATGGATGCAACTCTGAATGTTTCAGAATTCGATGATCCGATTTACAGTCCCGAAGAAGAAACAACCGATATTGGCGATCTAACATTTTTAACAGAGCCCTCTCCTGAGGATTATGTTTCAGAAAAGAAGTTTATTGTGTTTGAAACTTCTCTCGATTTATTGATCAAAAAGGTTCAAACATGTACTTTTCATGAACCATGTAACGCTCCAATAACAAACACTGAAAAAATTATATCAGGCACTCTGTTAAAAGTATACACTGTATGTGAATCAAATCATCGTTGCGAATTTTGGAGCAGCCAGCCTATGATTGGGAACCGTTCTTGTGGAAATTTATTAGCAAGTGCATCAATTTTGTTCAGTGGTTCGCACTTTGCTAAAGTTGCGGAACTTTTTGCAATTTTTGGAGTGCCGTTTATTTCACAATCCATACATTACATATATCAAAAACTATTTTTATTTCCAATAATCGATCATCATTATAAGAAAGAAAGAAGATTATTGATAGATGGTTTACGTGGAAAAATGGTATGTCTGTCAGGAGATGGGCAATGTGACAGCCCTGGATTTAATGCCAAGTACTGCACGTATTCACTTTTGGAGGAAAAATCGCAAAAAATAATAGAATGTCAAACAATTCAAGTGAGTGACGCAAAATCATCTGTTGCTATGGAATCACTGGCATTCAAAAGTTGCATGGACCAAGTACTAGCCGACAAAATTCTAATTTCAATTCTCGTTACCGATCGTCATGTAAGCATAAGGAAAATCATGAGAGAGAGATACAAAGCCATTAATCACCAATTCGATATATGGCACTATTGTCGGAGCATTCGGTTAAAACTATCAACCATATGTCGCCAAGCGATGTACAAGGAATTGGTTCCGTGGCAAAATTCGATAATAAATCACATGTGGGCAGCTTGTTCATACAGCAAAGGAAATCCAATTTTGTTAAAAGAGAAATAGCTGTCGGTAATGCATCACATTATAAACGAACATGAATGGGACTCTGCAACACTTTTCAAAAAATGTCAACATGCGGAATATGATCAAACTCTTGAACAGAAATCCTGGTTGAAAAAAAATGGAGTGGCATACTCCAAACTTCGAAGCTTTGTCACAGATTCTAAATTAGAGAAAGACTTTCCACATTTGGTTCATTTTTGCCACACGGGATCACTTGAAGTCTTTCATAGCCTGGTATTAAAATACCGTCCCAAAAGAGTACATTTCACGATGGGTGGGATGGTAGCCAGGACACAACTGGCTGTTTTGGCCCACAACGCCAATGTAGGCAGAGAACAGGCCACTATACAGAAAGAACAAGCAGGCACTGGACACATTGGGGACTTGCGGTTCAAACCGTTTTTCTCTAAAAGGAGTAAAAATTGGAAAATTAAGAAAATATATGAAAAAACCACTATTGCCCATATATATCTATCAGGGTGGCAGTCCGGTGCCCGGAACCCAGACACAGTGTCCAGGCGGCGGCGCGTGGACCGGGACCCAATATGCCTGATGATAAGTGGGAGTCTTCAGCGTGGAGGTGGATTAGCAGGGTCTGGTGCAGGGTAACCGCACGCCCCCTGGTGTTGAGCACCAGCGTTTGTGCAGCCACATACCAAGACCCTGATTCAGCCTATGCAGATAACAGGAACTAGGAGCTTGGAAATTAAGCAGACCTCCCAGGAGCTTAATAGGGAGGCTCTGCAGCAGGATTGTATCCAGTACTAGAAACAAGGCAAGACTAAAGATAGGCACCAAACATGAAAACAAGACAGAACTAATAGAACCCAGAACCAGAGAAGGATAGGAAACTAAACCCAGAACATATACACAAGATATGAGGAAAACATGAACATAACATGGGCATGACTGGACAGGACTGTACATGGGCTGGGTATACAAACTAAAACAGGACAAGATAACATTGGCAAAACAAGAGGAGAAATAACTAAGTACTACATATGAAAATCATGGGGATTTAGTCACACTATATGATCATACATTGCATAAGCCTGCCAACAACGCCAATGTACCCCATATCTGGCAGGTCCTACACTACCTAAAGTATGCTAAAACATCCTAAATAGACATATATAGCACTTACCTGCAAAAAAGGGCAGAAGCTTTGAGCAGCTGCCTGCAGGACTCTGAAACAGAAAGGAATGGTGGAAAACAAACGGGTGTGGCAACATAAAACAAACATTTAAAGGAAACCTGGAGACTGGGAAATCCAGGGACGAACTATAGGAATGAACCCAGAAATCCCAGCATAAAGAAAACCAGACATAGAATAGAAAACCAAAAACCAAGAAAAACTAAACAAGAATTGTAACAAGAGTACTGGATACCAGAAGCCATTGCCAGACATCTTCACAGAACAGAGCAGGACGTGACAATATCCAATGATGGCTGACGTACTACGAATAGCCTCAGGTGACTTACAAGTTAATTGGCAGTCTCAAACAGGGCAACTTCCAATAAACATTGCTTCAACACCTTGCCCACCAAAGGAGGTAATGGTTGACCGTCACTTTTCGCGTTTACGCCCAAGAAGACTTTAAAATGTTCAAAAATGTATAATTTGTGTAAGAAATTTTTGGACTGGTGATAAAAATAACATTTCTGTTAATGGTGCTAAATACTTGTTTATAGTGCAATTTAGTTGTAATTTGTATTCGAAGAACAAATTTTAATTTCTTAAAATAATTTAGATTTTTGGTTCAGTTTGTATAATTTCTTATACAAAACCAAGACGTTGCACTTACTTACTATTTGTTTTTGTTTTATTTAACATGTTACATTACAGGAACCATAACAAATTTATGCAAATTAAGTTATTATTGTGCCTGTAATTTACTATTTTATTTAATTTAAAATATTTATTATTGTCATATTTTTAAAAATTCAAAGTTGATATTGTCGAATAATGTTTTACTTAATAAAAAAAAAATATATATTATTTGTATTTTCAAACCATGTAATGTAACAATAAAGTTAATTTTGCGATGTTGATGCTTTTAAAAAAAAGTTAACTTGTGTTCCAAATTTTATTTTTAAAATTTTGTTATTTATTACATTAAATTATTGTTGTAAATTTTTTTTTCAATGTTGTTAATAAATGTTTATTACTTCACAATTTTTGTACTTTATTCAATAATTATGTTCATGTAGACACCCTATTGAAATTAGTGATAGCTGGTTTAAAGGACAATAATTTTACCCATCACACTGAAGTAAAATTACTTTTAGTATTTGAAAAAAACATTATATATATATATATATTACTGTTTGTGTTATTTTTTTAATAAAATAAAATTAGTAGATGAAAGTATCATTAAAATAATAAAAAATTCAATTTTTTTTATCATTTTTAATATATTAATATAAGAAATAAACATTTTTATAACAGTTTACATTGTACAATAAAAATAAATTAACATATTAAATTTTTTAAACATTATATACAACAAACAGACAATGTTGAATAGTTAACACATTTTGATAAACTAAAACAATTGCAAGGCTTCGTACTGTCTACTATACAAGTTCAACAGCTATAGGGTCATCATCCGCATATCTAAAACCCATGTATATCGCATCTGGTGCAGGAAAGTGTGACCTAATCAGTTTTACTGTGGTATCGGACGCCGCCTTTTGGGTCCCAGGTATCCGTACACCCACATTGTGAAGGACCTGTAGGCAGTTTTTCGGTAGTCACTGTGAAAAAAAAAAAAAAAAGGAAACATTTAACATTGCATATAAATAACCAAACAAAAAATGAGTGTCAATGGAGTATAGAATAAAAAATATTAAATTATGAATATAAAATTTAGCATCAAAAACTATAGAAAGTAATTAAAACAAAACATAAACAATTGTAGTATTTGAATACTAAAAACAAAAGAGCACTATAGTGACAGGAAAAAAATCTCGTTTTCTTGGCACTATAGGGTCATTAGTGTCCCCCCCCCCACACACAGCCTCAGTGCCCCCACTCATGATGCGCTGAAGGGGTTAAAACACCTTCAGACACTTGACTTTCTCCAGCACCGAGCTCATTCTGTGCTGGCAACCTCTCCTCCTTCTGCCAACGTCCGCATTACTCCATGTTTTCCTATGGACATCCAGCGTTGTGAGAATTGAGGAAACAGCAACTGTCAGTGAGACAGCCACTAGAGGCTGGATTAAACCTCATTGAAAGCTAGCAGTTTCTCCTACACTATGTTTGGAGCGGCAGGGTTAAAACTAGAGGGACCAGGCACCCTGACAACTTCATTGACTTGGAGTGGTCTGTGTGCCAGGTCCCACTATTTTTAACACATTTCGGTGTAAACATAGTTTCATAGAAACTGCTGTGTTTCACTGAGGGTTAATCCAGCCTCTAGTGGCTGTCTCACAGACATTCGCAAGAGGAGCTTACACAATTCTAACTGACTGAGAAGACGCTGGACGTTCATAGGCAAGCATGGAGTAATTCTTTCCTATAGGCTGTTTACCGAATGCACAACGCTATAGACACGCATGTGCATTGGTAGCGGACATTGGCAGGAGGAGGAGAGGTCACCATCACCGGGGGAGCACAACACTGGACAAAGGCTACTGGCTGACGATGTTTTAGCCCCTTCAGACTAGCAGGATTTGTTCACCAGATGTTGGGGGGTGACCTAACCACTATATAGTGCCAGCAAAACAAGGTTTTTATTGTGTCACTCCCTTAGAGATTAATTTTGCTTCATTTTTTTTTAAATCCATGACCGTTTTAAAGAACAATGCGCTGTATTTAGATTTATGATACACTCACCTTTCCTGCATTTGTTCCGGAGAACGGAATCTAGCGGATTTTACATAGCTGAGACCATAACGGTATAGAGACAGCACGTGTTCCCGTGAAGATAATTGCTCACGTAGATATGGAAGATTGCAAATGCAATTCTGTTGTTCATTCAACATATCGACAATGTTCTCTATCTCCCTGCAGCATAGACTTTCTTCCTCACTTTGCATTGGCATACAATTGCCACACAGACACCATTCTGATGTTCCTACTCTTGTTGGTGAACCTTGCGTATTTTCGTCATTAATCACTTGCTGTGCAGGTGGATCCCAGTCCATACTATTTAAAATATCAGGATCAACTGCATGTCGATGACGGTCCTCAAAATATTCTGACAGCTATAAATATATGTAGTAGTTTTTTTTTTAATATGTATTAGATCTTCATAAACACAATAACATTTGTATGAATCCTAGTTGGTATTGAATAAATGATGACAGTTAGAGGACCACAATAGTGTTTAAAAAAAAAAAAAAAAAAGTTTTCTTGTCAATATAGGGCCATTAGGTCCACCCCACCCTCAGGGTCCCACTCCAGCAGGGCACTCGGGGTTAAAACCCCTTCAGGCACTTTTCTTTCTCCAGCACCGCGCTCTAGGCTAGGAAACAGCTATGTTTACAGTTTTGTTCTAGGCTAGGAAACAGCTATGTTTACAGTTGCAGTGTTGACACTAGAGCAACCTGGCACCAAGACCACTCCATTGAGCTGAAGTGGTCTGGGTGACTATAGTGGTCCTTTAAAATTCTTCGACCATGAAAACATCCATCATGCAACCTAATGTAACTGAATTGAGATTAATGCATTGGTCCAGTCCTTTTTATCCTTCAATGCAAAATATTACCATTTGTCTCTTAGGCCAATGATTATCTCATTGCTTAGAAAATCGGCTAGACTTTTTTTTACTTAGCTTTACTTAGCTTTTAAAAAAGAAGAAATCAATGAAAACAAGCAGAAGAAGAAACATTTCTAGTACATTATATTAATTTTTTTTCTTGTTTTTATTACGACAGACATTGTGTGTTGCTGGCATCATGTGAGTGGACGAGATGAACAATAAAGAGTCCAGTCCTCACATTTTTGAAGAGGCAGGTAAAACAATTTTTAAAAACTAGTTAAAGTACCACTATAGTGCCTGGAAAACTCTTGTTTTCCTGGCACTATAGTGCCTTGAGCTTGCCCCCTCCCGCCGGGCTGGATGGCGATGAAAGGGGTTAAACTTATCTATTTTCCAGTGCCTGGCGGGGAGCTCTCCTCCTCCTCTCCGCCTCCGATCATCCTCTTTTTCTGAATGCGCATGCGCAGCAAGAGCTGCGCTCGCATTCAGCCTGTCTCATAGGAAAGCATTTCCAATGCTTTCATATGGACGCTTGCCTCTTCTCACTGTGATTTTCACAGTGAGAAGCACGCAAGCGCATCTAGCGGCTGTCAATGAGACGGCCACTAGAGCAGGGGTTCTCAACGTTAGTCCTCAGGACCCCCTACCAGTCCAGGTTTTAGGGATAACATGGGTGTGTCTAAGGTGTTTAGAAAAAGAAAAAAAAACCCTTAGAGTCAAAGGTATTTTTTTCAACCCTTTTTCTAAACACCTTAGACACACCCAGGTAATCCCCAAATCCAGGACTGGTAGGGGGTCCAGAGGACTGGGTTGAGAACCCCATCACTAGAGGATTTGGAGGCTGGATTTAACAAAATATAAACATAGAAGTTCCTTTGAAACTGCAATGTTGATATAAAAGAAAGGGTTACTCCTAGAGGGACCTGGCACACAGACCACTTCATTATGCTGAAGTGGTATGGGTGCCTACAGTGGTCCTTTAATAAAGTTATTTAGAGGATCACTGTAATGTCTGTAAAACAAAGCTGTTTTCATGACACTATATAATCTTTGGTGGAACTTCTCCGTCAGGGTTCACCTCCCGTGGCGCTGAAGGTGTTAAAACCACTTCAACAGCTTAGTTAAATCCAGAGCCGGGCTCCCTCGGCGCTCGTTATCTCTCCTACCCCACTGAAGTCAGCTCATGAGTGGTGCGTAATGCGCATGCCCTGCAAGTGTCGTGCGCGCGCATTTTAACAGTCCACAGGAAAGCATTTCTAAATGCTTTCCTATGGACGCTCTGCGCGATGGATGCAAAATCGCAGTTAAACGTCTAGCAGCTGTCAGGAAGACATGCACTAGAGGTTGTATTAACCCTGCTATGTAAACATAGCAGTTTCTCTGTAACTGTTATGTTTACATATGAATGGGTTAAAACATGATTGGCCTGGCACCCACACCACTTCATTGATCTGAATTGTTCTGGGTGACTATAGCGTCCCTTTAAAGGTGGGTGAGTAGCACATGGAATTGTGTTACAGCACACACCACATGCAGGGCCAGATAAGTTGATGCTGGCCATACAAGATGGTATAAAGGAAACGCTAACAAAAGAGGATGAAAAATGGAGATGAAAGGTGGACCCAGAGCTTCCTAGCATGCCACCTTCTAATGAGTAGCAAAGAGTTTTTTGGTTTTTTTTTTAAATCGTTTCAAAATATATAGAAGATAAGATTGTTTCATGAAAGGGAAACGTTTTTATTGAACTCATGTTAGGGACAGATAGTTTGTAGATTGTTAGTAATTAGTGAGTGTGTGGGGGGAAGAATTGGAAGTGTAGAGATATCATGATGACATGCAAAGGGCAATGAAAGGTTACATTTTTAAAACCAGACATTTCTCTTGCAAATCTACATGGATGGGGGAAGTAAAGTCTATTCATTGTAAATTTTTTATTAAATTGAAGATAAGATAGAGTCTAATAGTGACATTTTTTCAATTTCAGAAATGCTAAAGCCAGACAGTATGGAGACTGACTGATAGTATCAGGGTGGGAGAGATAACATGTTGAGATGCAAGGTGAACTTGCACAACCAGACATTTCCCTTGCAAATCAACATGGGTGAAGGAAAAATAACTGTAGAATTAACGGTGGTAAAGTGTGATATGCATGGAGACACAGATTTGGTGCTGGCCATGCAAGATGGTGGAGTGTTGCCACTCCTCTTTGAGGTAAATAACGGGGACGCAAGTGGACCCATAGCGTCCAAGTATCCCCCTTGTACCTCAGAAGGATGGACAGTGTAATACACATACACTTAGACATTTTGTACAAAAAAATATATAAATAAAAAAAAAATATATATATATATATATATATACACACACACACACAAAATTGCAATATATAATTCGGGTGCTTGCAGTCCAGGGAAAATATTATACATAAATTGTACAGAGGACCAGCACTCAATGTTTTACTGAAGAATAAAATTTGTAAACTTTATTGAAGACTCATATTAAACAGGTTCATGATGAACGTCACAGACCTGGACTGACACATCTTTCCTCCTTTTAATATGAGTCTAGGACCAATGTAGTGCCAGGAAAACATACTCGTTTTCCTGGCACTATAGTGCCCTGAGGGTTCCCCCACCCTCAGGGACCCCCTCCCGCCCGGCTCTGGAAGGGGGAAAGGGGGTAAACTTACCTTTTTCCAGCGCTGGGCGTGGAGCTCTCTGCCTCCTCTCCTCCTCCGCCGATCCGCCCCGTCGGCTGAATGCGCCCGCACGGCAAGAGCTGCGCGTGCATTCAGCCGGTCGCATAGGAAAGCATTTACAATGCTTTCCTATGGACGCTGGCATGCTCTCACTGTGAAAATCACAGTGAGAAGCACACAAGCGCCTCTAGTGGCTGTCAATGAGACTGCCACTAGAGGATTAGGAGGAAGGCTTAACCCATTTATAAACATAGCAGTTTCTCTGAAACTGCTATGATTATAAAAAAATGGGTTAACCCTAGAAGGACCTGGCACCCAGACCACTTCATTAAGCTGAAGTGGTCTGGGTGCCTAGAGTGGTCCTTTAAGCTTCACTATAACCTTGAGTGCTGGTCAGTTGTACAATTTATTTTTTCCATGGACTGCAAGCACCGGAATTATATATAAGAGCCTGTGTGCAAGCGTGTGTATGTATGTATATGTATATGTGTGTGTGTATATGTGTATATATATATATATATATATATATAGAGAGAGAGAGAGAGAGAGAGAGAGAGAGAGAGAAAGAGATATATATATGTTTGTTGTGTATATACACACGAAAAGCTTTTTAATGGTGTTGTTATTTTTATTAACAGTTTTTATTACTCTGTCTTTGAGATACATATAATAATGTATAAGTGTGTTAGTGTGAGTGTATATATACACACAAACATATCTCTCTCTCTCTCTCTCTCTCTCTCTCTATATATATATATATATATATATATACACATACATACATACATACACACACACACACACACACACACATACACACACACACACACACACACAGAGATATCAATACATTTATATAATATCTGTAATAAAATAATATCTAAGATTGGAAGGATTGGATTTGAAATTCCTAGAGTGACGTTATTTATTTAGGATTTTTATATATATATATATATGTAGAAAGGCCATTAGGCCTGAATTTGTGGGAGGAGTAAGTCCCCTACTTAAACTCCCAGCCTCTACTCACCGCTGCCGCTCAGCTGATTGTCCTTAGCAACCAGCACTTCCGGTCCAGCTTCCCGCCAGAACTGTACCTGTTTCCAGCAGCCAGACGCCCTGTGCAATCCTCCGTCCGTCCGAGGTCCTTCCACTCTGTTTCTCTCCGGTCGAGGTACCCGACTTCCGGTCACGAGACCGGCGCGTTCACGTAAGCAAGGTGTGGGAATTAGCGTTCGCTATTTCCCCGCCGTTCGGGCCTAAAAACGTAGGGGTAGGCTCCCTCTTTCGCATTTTCACGAATACACGCTTTTCGTTAATATCTCCATTCGCGCCAAAAAACGCACAAACGTTCGGCTCATTTCGCTATCATTTAAAGCATTTTCATACGGAAATAACCGAATATATATTTCATGTTTAAACTCATTATTATCTGTATTCACTTTTTCTGTTCGGTCATTTCAGCACCAACCTATTCGTATGGTTAAATTCACGAACACCATCTTACTAATTTACATTCGGTTATTTCTATTCTTTTAAGCTAAGCATGCATAAGTTCTAATCACACTATCCTACTATTATTTATTCCTTCATATCAGTTTGTGGTTACATTATCTGGTTAACTACCAGCCCTGTGTTTTCCTACCTTGTTAAACCATTTAAAGTATTTTTCTGTAATAAACATAATGTTTTACCATGGTTCATAACTTCATACGTGTCTAAATACAAGCTATACCATTCTTTCCAAA